TTTCCTTTCCAAACTGCCACCAGCTGGGAAAATCATCATGTAAGTTGTTTCACACAACATGCTTCATCTGAGAAGGAAGCAAATCTTGAGAAGGACCTTATGTTCATGGTCAGTGATGTTCACTCAGGGATCCTTTTCATCGTTTTCCCCACCTGAGCCAAGCACGTCCACCTTCTGCTTGAGCAAAACTCTTTCTTGGAAAGAAGCACATTGGTATATTGAAAAGATGACAGCGGTACTTGGAATGAAACTTGAATGAATTTTCAGAGAAAATGTAGTTATTACTCGGTATCTAGGAAAATGTAGTTATTATTCGGTATCTAGTGGCTTTTTTTTTTTTTTTTTTTTTTTCAGACAGAGTCTCGGTCTGTCGCCCAGACTGGACTGCAGTGGCACCATCTCAGCTCACTGCAACCTCCACCTCCCAGGTTCAAGCAATTCTCTGCCTCAGCCTCTCGAGTAGCTGGGAGGTGCCCACCACCACGCCCGGCGAATTTTTTCTTTTTTTAGTAGACACGGGGTTTCACCATGTTGGTCAGGCTGGTCTTGAACTCCTGACCTCAGGTGATCTGCCTGCCTCGGCCTCCCAAAGTGCTGGGATTACAGGCATGAGCTACCGCGCCCCACCTGAACATCGTATTTTAAGAAAGCCATTGACAAATTAGAACATGTTCACAGAAGAGTTGTTAAGACAATGACAAAGACTTGAAGTCATGCTACTTGGAGCAATAAAGAAAGCTGTCATCTTAAACACTGCTGTGACCAGTTTAATGGTTCTTCTCATATCACCATGCTAGTTCACTAACAATCCCAAAACAGTGAATTAACACAACCTCATTCATATTACACATCTGTCAGGGATTGATGGGTTGATGGGGGTTTTGCTCTACACAGTCATTCAGATACCTAGACTGATGGAGGCTCTGCCATCTAATACCTGCATCATCTGGAACATTCAGCCTTGTTAGTCACGTGGCAAGGTCAGAGACAATGGGAAAGTTGCACACAAGCTCCAGAATGCTCCTGCCTCACAGTAACATGACCCCACGGACCTGTAAAAAACTGGAAAATATGGGCAAGCATGTAACACCTTATTAATCATGTATTTAATTTATTTTTATTTTTATTTTTATTTTTGAGACAGAGTTTCGCTCTGTCGCCCAGGCTAGAGTGCAGTGGTGCAATCTCTGCTCACTGCAAGCTCCACCTCCCAGGTTCACATGATTCTCCTGCCTCAGCCTCCCAAGTAGCTGGGACTACAGACGGCCGCCACCGCACCCATCTAATTTTTTTGTATTTTTAGTAGAGACGGGGTTTCACTGTGTTAGCCAGGATGGTCTCGATCTCCTGACCTCGTGATCTGCCCGCCTCGGCCTTCCAAAGTACTGGGATTACAGGCGTGAGCCACCGCACCTGGCCTATTTAATAATTTTTAAATGGCCCAATGCTTAGCTTTCTCCTCAACCTTAAGAATAGTAGCTGGGAAATCATGGATTTGCTTTATCCTCAACCTTAAGAATAGTAGCTGGGAAATCATGGATTTGGTCTGCTATTATATTTTCTCTAATACGTGTTAAAATAAATGACTTTTAGAATTACAGAATTTCATCCACATGCCACCTAAAATCATTCTACCTGCTACACAGTGTGTCACTTTTAGAGGAGAAACTAGCTTGCTGAATGTAATCAGCTGCAGTAGAGGAAGAACGAAATGACGTTACATGGGAAGGACAGCTCAAAGAGACTGTGAAATGCTGTGGGGTTCCTGAGTGGAAATTTGGGATCAAATTTGAGAAAAACAAAATGACAATTATGTCCCCAGAGTAAGACCATCATTCTGTTCTTTGTTTTGATTGTTTTGAGATGGAATCTCCTTCTGTTACCCAGGCTGGAGTGCCATGGCACGATCTCGGCTCACTGCAACCTCTGCCTCCCAGACTCAAGCAATTCTCCTGCCTCAGCATCCTGAGTAGCTGGGAGTACAGGCACCTGCCACCATGTCCAGCTAATTTTTTTGTATTTTTAGCAGAGATAGGGTTTCACCATGTTGACCAGGTTGGTCTCGAGCTTCTGACCTCAGGTGATTCGACTGCCTAGGCCTCCCAAAGTGCTGGAATTGTAGGCGTGAGCCACCACGCCCTGCCAGGATAATCATTCTAACTTGGAAATATTAAAGAAGACGGAAATGCATAAGAATTCAGCTACAGAAGGTTAATAATACTATTAAATAAATGGAACATCAAAGTGAGTTTGAAAATTTGGGTTTTAAATTTCCAGTTTAAAAAAATTTTGTTTTAATTTTTATTGAGACTGGGTTTCACTCTGTTGCCCAACCTGGAATACAGTGGTGCTATCACTGTATTCCAATGGCTCACTGCAGCCTTGATCTCCTGGACTCAAGTGATCCTCCTGCCTCAGCCTCCTGAGTAGTTGGGACTACAGGCGGATACCACCAGGCCCAGCTAACACATTTATCTTTTTCAGAGATTTGAATTAGCCATTTAACCAGGCTGAGTAGTTGAGTAAGGAAAGCTGCTTCACTCAAAAATCACTTTGCTTTGATGATAGCAATCAGTGGTATTTGTTATCAGATGTTGCACAAAATTCTTTTCCCACATTATCTCATTTGATCTTCACAACAATGCTATATATTAGACTCGATTACATATAGCTGTATAGATGAAAAATCTGGGGCCTATTTACAGTGAAATACTTGCACAAGGTCACAGAGCTGAGGCTGAATCCCAGGTCTTTAACTAAAATCCAACCCTTCAAAGGAACTCGAATTTCCCACCTGGTTTTAGGGGCTTTCGTTATAATCTTTCCATCATTTTCTTGTCTCTTACTATCCTTTTGGATCTAAGCAAGGTGTAAACGGCAATCGTTGAAAATTTACAGAGTCAGTTCTAAGTTATCACTAACTAAGGACCTTAGTTAGATTGAAGTGGGTGGCTGGGATGGAAAGAAATTTTCTATTTAACTTAAGACTGTTAGATAGATTTTCTGAGTGGTTACTCTGTCTTGTTTCATTTTCTTACTTTTATATTTTCTTTCTTTCTCTCTTTTAAACATTTTTCCAGTCTAAAAGCCAGAATCAACAGGATCAAAAATCAAACAAAAATTCTGAGCTTCCCTAAGGACACACATAGGGGGTTTGAGAATGTCAGCTGTACAAATATGACACCATCTTTAGACAAACTGTCTGGAAGGATGAGTTGGGGGGGGTGGATCCAGCCCCCATGTGTTACATGCAGATGTCATGTGGCCATGCCTGTAGCCAGCTTTATTATCTGACAGATACGGAGCACAAATATTGACTTTTGCTATTTTTACTGTAACTGCAGCCATAAACATTGATTACTTCAGGAGAGTGCAGACGGGAAGGAGGCAGCAGTGTCTCCATGGCCCAAGAGAGCTTTTGTCTTTGCCTCAGGGCAGCCCAAAAAAGAGTAGGACTATGCATACGATCCTTACGGAATGATTAAATACAGAAATAGTAAAATGGTGATGATGTGAAAGATCCCGCAGGTTTGAGGGACTTAAAAATATCCCTATGGGTTCTGTACTGTCATCTGTGTTCATTTAGCCCAAGCAAATTCCGAATGCAGGAAAGAGGGGAACTCAAGAGCATTTAAAAGCCTCCCTCCTTCCATGGCGCATGCCTCTCCTCTGGGCAGACTTCCTCCCTTCTGATGGCAACACACAGTAATTGATAATTACATTTTCCAATTTCTTCCCCTCTACACCCCAGAATGATTTGCTTGGCAAGAGAAATAATCCATCGAACAATGCATATTGCGTTGTCGGTCCTTCGTAGGAAATGAAGGGATGCCTTTTTTGGTGACAATCTGTTTATTTTGCAGATGCAAAAAAAAAAAGCAAGGGATATTTTCTGATCTAGTGTTTTTGTTGTTGTTGTTGTTGTTGTTTGTTTGTTTGTTTGTTTTAGATTCAGAGCCTAAAATTTATGTCTCCAGTGTGGAGTCACCCAGATTTCCTTTTGGATTAGGTCTAATGTGTTCTGCGTGAGCATCTGGAGTTAGAAAGATGATAGTGAACATTATGGACACTAACAGCATGATGGTGGGACAGACAGCCAGAAACTTGAAAGTGGGTCTAGAGAATGACTGGTTTCCATCTGCAAGAAAAGTTCTGTTGCCCCCTCGTATTCACTTCAACTGAACTCAGCATCTCAGCCAGGCACGCAAAGGCTTCAATCAGTTTAAAGCGGAAGAGTCTCCATTTCAAAGTGCATCTCATGCCAGCGCCCAACTCTGGCCTAAATCAGCCCAAAGCAAACAGACTTGAACTTTCTCTAGAGATTCAGGGAGTAGGAATGAAACCAACCTAGACACCTTTTGGGGTCAAAAATCATTCAGCTAGATCCAGAAGAACAAAGCAACGAATGGTTCCTCGTGGCCTGGAGGGGAAAGAGGGCCGTGTGTTAAAGATGGAAGTATGTATTGTAGGTTTTTGTTGTTGTTGTTGTTTTTTAGACGGAGTATCACTCTGTCGCCCAGGCTGGAGTGCAGTGGCATGACCTCGGTTCCCTGAAACCTCTGCCTCCCGGGTTTAAGCAGTTCTCTGCCTCAACCTCCTGATTAGCCGGGATTACAGGCACCCACCACCACGCCCGGCTAATTTTTGTATTTTCAGTAGAGATGGGGTTTCACCATCTTGGTCAGGCTGGTCTTGAACTCCTGACCTCGAGATTCACCCACTTTAGACTCCCAAAGTGTTGGGATTACAGGCGTGAGCCACCTCACCCGGACTATTATAGGTGTTTTAATGAGACGTGAAATCTTTTCCTTTGGAGTCTGGCTGTCAGGTGGCTTAAGACATTGAGCACATTTGCAGGACTGGCTCTACCACCAAACCTGCTGGTATCTGACTTTAGAAGAGTCATTCATTCATTGATTAAATACGCTTGACGGAGGAGTTTCCACCCATACGTGGGATAGAGCATAGGAACATATCACATAGAGGAAAGGGCATCCAGGTTCAAACACATACACTTTGTGTAATTTCGTAAAGATGTCTTGTTTTTATTTTGAGCCTTGTTTTCATTATCTACAAAAGAGAAACACGACATGGTTGTTGCTAGGCTGAAACGAAATAATATTTGTACAGTGTTTAGCATATACGGTAACCAAAATACCTAAGTCCCCACTCACGGCTATAATTGCATAGCAACTTCCTCATTTTCTCTTCACCAATATCTGAACTCTTTTACTTTGGATAACTGTTATTAGATAACAACGAAACAATTTCTGTGTTCAAAAGTGTATTTGATTTAAGTGTGTATTTTGGTTATCGAAAATGTTGGGCTATTTTGTAAGTTTGTGGACTGATATTGACATTAATTATTAGGCCAATTGGTTATGGCAAGAGTAAAGAAAGTTTACTCCTACTCTTCATTTTCATCCATCATCCCCTGTAAGAAATATTAATCAACAAAATACAGAACGGTATCTATCAAGTAGTTTGTAGCATAGTTGGGGCCTAAGCTTAAATTTAAGGCAATCCAGTGGGGCCATTTACAAGGTCTTAGAAAATTGGCTGATATGTCCTATTTGCAAAGAAGACTGAAGTACCCCGTTTGTTTAAAATTAACATAAAATGTTATCCTGCCTGTCTACCTTTGCATGTACCTTGTAGATCTCCTTCTTTGAGCTTTTGTAAGGTAAGTAGAAAGATGCTATATTTTAGAGTTACTCTCCAGCACTGGTTGCATAATTCACCATGATAGGAAGGCTGTTTTCCAGTTCTCAGCCTGTAAGGCTTGCTGTAATTTCACACTTGGTAATATGAGCTTGTTTTCTGGATCATCAGTGTTGGGGGAAAAAAAAATTCTGTTAATGGATGGCAGTCTCTAGAATTTTCCATTGAGATTGAATAATACAATTCATTATCCTAGTTACACATCTTAGGTCTCTACTTGGAATCACGAAGTTCTTGAAACCAAAATACCTAAGTCCTCACTTACTGTTATAATTACATAGCAACTTCCTCATTTCCTTTAGCAAGATCCACTGAACTCTCTTACTTTTGATAATTGTTATTAGATAACAATGAAACAATTTTTTTGTGTGTGTTCAAAAGTGTATTTTATTTAAATATTCATTTTGACTATCAAACATACCAAAAATGTTAGGCTATTTTTGTAAGTTCGTGCACTGATGTAGACAGTAATCATTAGGTCCATTGGTGGTAGTAACCAGTTTCTTCCAATAGTGAGTCCTGCCCTCGACCAAATTAGCAATATAATGTGTTATCCTCTAATAAGATGGGCAGATGGAAGGAGTAAGGACAAGGTCAAGATATATGATAAACTTACTTAAGCTCAACCAGTTAGAATCCAGGGCAATGGACTAGTTCTAGCAGGGGCAAATTGGTGAAGACAATTATACATGCTGGGTGGACAAATAGTTCACTAAATTTCTAGACCTAAGCTTATGCTCAACTTCATACAGTAGGAAGCTATTTATAGACCTTTCCCAGTGGGGAAGGAGGTACTGTTTGTATCATTTCAGGGTTTCAGACAAATATGACCATAAAGTGGCTTGACTTGGATAGAAGTGGCCTTACAAGGATACAGGACTATTAAAATAATACGAGAATGAACACTGCATTTGAAATAAAAATATCTGTCTTTATTTCAAGTTCCACCAGGTGACCAACTTAAAGCTCTGTAAGCTTTGGTTTACTCATCCATAAAATGTGGATAGCCATTTATGCTGCATAATATTCAGAGGATTAAGTAAAATTATGTATAAGAAATAAAAATAATGCCGGGCATGGTGGCTCACACCTGTAATCCCAGCACTTTGGGAGGCCGAGTCGGGTGGATCACGAGATCAAGAGATTGAGACCATCCTGGTCAACATGGTGAAACCCCGTCTCTACTAAAAATAGAAAAATTAGCAGGGTGCGGTGGCACACACCTGTAGTCCCAGCTACTCAGGAGGCTGAGGCAGGATAATTGCTTGAACCCGGGAGGTGGAGGTTGCAATGAGCCGAGATCGCGCCACTATACTCCAGCCTGGCAACAAAGCGAGACTCCATCTCAAAAAAAAAAAAAAAAAAAAAAAAAAGAAAGAAAGAAAGAAAGAAAGAAAAATACAATGGACATATATGGTCTGTTTCTCTCCTCTATCCTTCACCACCTTCATGAAACATTCAAAAACCTTTGGTGACTTTCTGCTAAAGATAGTTAAAGCCAAAGATGTTAGCTTGCCATTCAGGATCTTAACTTGCCAACTATTATTTCCCACTATTTTTCCCCATACAAATATTTAGCAGACAACAACAACTCAATGTTTCCCTCGATGAGTCAGTTGTATTTGAGAGGTCTCATGAGGGAATCTGCTTGTCCAATTACACAGGACATCACTTCTCACTTTACACCTGGGAAGGAGAGAATCCTTGACTTTCAGATGTGGACACTCTATGTGATCAGAATCCTGGCCCAATGCCTGCCCGTGGATCATGCTAAACAAGTTCTGGAGAGTTTGATATGTGAGCCTGAAGGCCAGTTCTTTAACTGTCAAATTTTTATATTATCCTACATCAGTATCCTTATGGAAGTTCACACTATAATAGGTTAGTTAGATGACTATGAAATCAGAGTGACCGGGTGCAGTGGCTCATGGCTGGGTACGGTGGCTCACGCCTGTAATCCCAGCACTTTGGTAGGCTGAGGGCAGATCACAAGGTCAAGAGTTCGAGACCAGCCTGACCAACACGGTGAAACCCTGTCTCTACTAAAAATACAAACATTAGCCAGGTGTGGTGACATGCGCCTGTAATCCCAGCTACTTGGGAGGCTGAGGCAGGAGAATCCCTTGAACTTGGGAGGCAGAGGTTGCAGTGAGCCGAGATCATGCCACTGCACTCTAGCCTGGGCAATGGAGCAAGACTCCATCTCAAAAAAAAAAAAAAAAGAAAAAAAGAAAAGAAAAGAAAAGAAATCAGCGCCAAAAAAAAAAAAAAATCATTTGATGATATTACCAATGAGTGTGATCCTACTTCAATTATGTGTCATCATCAAGGAGGTCCAGACCTCAGTGGAAAATGGATTTGTGGGTGCCCCTGAGAGGCTCAGACTCTGTTGACAGAGCTCAAGGGGGCGCAGTTGTCACCGGGTGACATGAGTTGGTGGGACCTGGAACTGCTCTCACGCAGACAGAGTCTGGTAGACGGGAGACACACAAGAAATTAAATGTGTGTGTGTGTGCTTGCAGGGGCCTGTCTTAACCAATCCCCCAGGGGGCTCCTACTGGAGAGAAAAAAACAATGTAGTATTTAGCCATGGGCAAGTGTAGAAACGGAGGCTAGGAGAAATCCCTGCACACCTTTTTTTGGTCAGCTCATGAGTCATTCTCCCCCCAATACACAAAAACTCCACCTAAAACACATTAGATCACATTGCTTTTCTTAGTAGCATGTCATAGATTTTCTTCTCCACTTGTCCACGTTCTGTCAAAGATGAGGAATGATCTTGCAGAGCTCTTGGAGCTGAGAGCAGAGTGGAGCCAACCTGATCCCATAAGCTGACCTGGAAGCCTCCTGGGAAATTCTTCTTGAAACATCCCAGCCCCATTTCAGGGCCTCTCTGCTTTATCTGCAGATAACAATCTCAGCTCCTTACAGCTTGCCCATCACCTCATCTGTAGTGTTTGCCACTCTTAGTTTGTGTCAAACTCTAAGGAGTTGAGGGAAAAAAAAAAAAACCATTTTGGGGCAGATAGTTCAAGGAAAAGTCAACATTGAGAGGTGACTTGGTTTTTCTCCTCTTACCCACACTACAGACCAGACTAAACTCAAAATAATACTATGAACGCAAAGAAAATCAAACCATCCTGACTCCTTTGCTATGTTTGAATAATCATGAGGACTCTTGTAGGAGTTTTCCACTAATTCATAAGGAAGCCCGCTCTAGCTTTTCTGAATGAGTTTATCAGTCCCTATTTTATTGTAAGGTCTATTGTGTTTTCTCAGCTATTCTAAAATGCAGCTGCGTTATCACTGTATATGGAGTATAAATGTTTAGTCACCTCTGAGTTATTGACTGGAATGCTCCTCGGGGACATGTCACTGCTAGGTGAGGTGGGGGTGGCTGAGTGGAGTGGCAGCCATCTGGTTATGTTGAACACGCCGGGACTGGGAGGAAGCACTACGAGAGAGAGTGTAGCTTAAAAAGGTGTATTTAATGCTACAAATGTTTATTTGTTTTCATTTGTAATATTTGTTTAGAAATTTCAAATAACACTAAAGAAGAACTCAATGTTTTAGATTTCCAATAGAGGGCATAGATTTAAAAGGCTGGAAGATACCACTTAACAAGCTAATCCCAGAGCAAATACAGAAACAATTCTTAACTATAATAAATGCTTTACCAGTGAATAGCTTTATCACTGAGTATGACGATAACAAAATACAGAACGTGAAATTTTAAACAGGAAAATCTCGTGGATATGTTCAAGGTTTTTTTTTTTTTTTTTTTTTTTTGACACAGAGTCACTCTGTTGCTCAGGCTGGAGTGCAGTGGCACGATCTCGGCTCACTGCAAACTCTGCCTCCCAGGTTCAAGTGATTCTCATGCCTCAGCCTCCCGAGTAGCTGGGATTACAGGTGTGCACCACCACATCCAGCTCTTTTTGTATTTTTAGTAGAGACGGGGTTTCACCATGTTGGCCCAGCTGGTCACGAACTCCTGACCTTAAGTGATCCACCCGCCTCAGCCTCCCAAAGTGCTGGGATTACAGGCCTGAGCCACCATGCCTGGCTTTCAAGTTTTTTTTTTACATTTCTGTAATGCTTTGCTCTCAAAGTTCAGCACTCTGAGGGAACAATGTAACCTGGTAAAAAAAAGACATGGGAATCATTCTGCAAGAAGTGATCTGCAACTTGCTTTGCAAATAATATGAACAGAATAATGCTATTTTTTAAAATCAATGTCGCATGAAGGAATACTCTGTATCTCTGCAGATACACACATGAAAGAGTCAGGAAGTGAATCTTCCATGCTAATAACAATGTAGTTCCTCCTGCAGAGACAGGACAGTCCAGAGAAACTTTATTTTTAGACTATTGGACTATTTGTTTCATATGATACTGTTAACACGTATTTATATATTATTTGTAGACACTAAATATTGATAAAATTATTTTTAAAATGCAATAATAATAATCAAATGACCTCATGACATTGCTAAGCCTGCCAGGTTGGGCAATTTGAGGAATTTCCTCCAGGTTTTTGGACCTCAGTTTCCCAATCTGCAGGAGATTAGAGAATTCTTCATGGGGTCTTGTGGGTCTCCCATTGCTCCTCAAAACAATCTCAGCCACAGGGAAGTGGGGAACAGAGAGGTATGGGAAGGTTGATGAGAAAACTGAGTATATGTGTGGGAGGGGACGCCATAATTCAAATCCAAGCAGCTCTGCTCTCCTTTTAGTTTTTTAGAGCATTTCTCTACATTCGATCACGTTTGAACAATAGTGGAGTAAAAAAAAATCTATTGATAACTCCAACTCTACAAACTTCAAACCAAACAAAAACAGCCTTTAAGAGAATCATCTAAATCGGCAAGTAGCGTGCTCTGAGCTTCAATGTACAATTTACATAAAAGTCAAAAGGAAGCTCTAGCTTCCATCTCAGTCTCTGTTTTCTGTCCCTGGAGGGAGGCAGCAAAGAAAATGAAGGCACAGCTGAGTGTCCAGACCTCATTCACGCTGGTTCTTCTGGCCACAGCAGCGGGCTTGCATGTGGAAGTCTCATTCTGATGTATTGTGATTCTTTGCTTTAAAACTCAAGCTTAGCAATTTATTTTTTAATCAGTTGGAACCCTTTTCATGGCAAATGGTAGAAAGCTCAATAAAATTTACGAAAGAAGAAAAAGGTTGGCATTGTTTCACATGACGGAGAAACTCAAGGCTTTAAGCATTGATCCATCCAGTGCCTCAAGTGACATAATTGTCACTTCATTTCTCAGCTCTGTGTTCTATGTTCCGTGCAGTGACAAAGTGGCTGCCTCACAGGTTCAGTTCAACCTAGGAGGGAACATTGCCTTCTAGTCATCTCTGGCCACTCCCATGAAAATCAAGGGACTTACTGATTGCCCAACTTGAGTCATCGGCCATGGAGACCCCAGTCACCAAGAGAGGAAGTTTGTGTTCTGATTAGCCAATGTGGACCAAATGGACTGGGGTTGGGGATGGGGGATACTCAAGGAAAATTTAGGGCACCATTTCTTGAAAAATGTAGAGAAAATAGTGAACCCGTGATAATAACATCCCAGTTGGCCCTGTGATTGTTATTGCAAAGCATTTTGAAGACAGAAGGAAATATGAGTGACCACTTCTGGGCTTCCTTTGTCCTCTGTGAGTCTTAAGGAGCAAATGTCATCTCGCTGCAGCTTAAATTTCTTAACAGAGTTTACTTGTTTAAAAGATTTTTTAACACAATACATCCTTTTTTCAAAACATTATTATTTTCAGATTATATAGACATGTATCAGAACTCTCTTAAATGGACTGCCATAGACAGGTTCTACAGAGGGGTGAAGCTGCAAAATAAGTCTAAAGTAGAATAAAAGGAGAACCAAAAAGCAAATCGAGTGTCTTATTTCATGAAAAATAGTAACTATGCCCAATTCACATAATGAACACCGCTGAGCATGTTATCCTTAACAAAATAATTTTATTAAGCAAAGTCCTTCTCTATTTAGCACAAGGAAAACATTATTTTAGTCAATTAATAATTCCCAAAGTGTTTTCTTAATATTTTGACAGTAATTTCAAATGGATCTGCATGCATAGAAATGATTATTAAACTAAGGCATATACACAGGCACACACATGCTCACACCCCCATGATTATTATTATTACTCGTTGAAACTACAGCCTGAGGTAACAAGGAAGGTAAAGGTCAGACTTCCAAACAGAAAACACATGTATGGTGAGAGCACCATAAACTGCAGGGAAGACACAAATTTATTCTCATATTTTTCATCAAGTCTTTTTTAGAGTTGTGGACAACAGAGACCTTTCTTATTGATTAAATTTCATAATGTTGAATTTGATCAAATCATAAGACATCAATTAGACTATAATTTTTAAAACATTATGAATGATAATAAAGGACAAATGGAATCATTATCAAAGAACGCCCTAAGTATTAAATTATCCCATCTTTATCTTGTTAAGAAAACTTAGAAATCGTCTGTGGGTGCTGGTGTGTTTTCAATCACAAAGAGTGTTTCCTCTTCTCATAAACTCACGGAAGCCATTTTCCAGCGCTCCAAGCGCAGCATAGCTATAGGTGGGCAACAAATATTCTTCTTTTCCGTGTGCTATCTAGGTATGGCTTCGCAGGGTTACCCTGTTGACCTTTTAAAGAGTCCAGACCAAGGCAGGACCATCCTTAGCTGAAGAGTTCTTGAAGAGTTTCCCTGATGTGGAGCTGTTGTACTCAAATTCCTGCTGGCAGTTTCCTAAGAAACGCTAAAAGTTCCTTAGGAGTCTGAATTAACCTGTTAATAGACAGTGTCTTTCTCCAACTGGGAATTTCTCCACTTTCTTCAAGCCCCATCAGTATTCTAGGGGAGAGATTTTAAGTACAGGACAGACTTACTACTCATTGCAGAACCAGAAGGGGGTGCCATAGGGCAAAGGAATCTTAGGCCATTCAGACTGTTTTTACAGGGATGAGTAATAATCACCACACGGATTACGTAACTTCCGGCCAACCACGGATGAAGCAAGGGCTATGAACATGATATTCTCTAAAGAATATTTGGGTTAAGATGGCTGTCTTTACTTTACCGTTTACGTAGCCAAGAATGAACAGAGAAAAATCTTTACCAAACTTATAAATTGTTGTTATTATTATTATTATTATTTATTTATTTTATTTTTATTTTTGAGCCGGAGTCTCACTCTGTCGCCCAGGCTGGAGTGCAGTGGCGCCATCTTGGTTCACTACAAGCTCTGCCTCCCGGGTTCACGCCATTCTCCTGTCTCAGCCTCCTGAATAGCTGGGACTACAGGCGCCCACCACCACGCCTGGCTATTTTTTTTTTTTGTATTTTTAGTAGAGACAGGGTTTCACCGTGTTAGCCAGGATGGTCTCGAACTCCTGACCTCATGATCCACCCGTCTCGGCCTTCCAAAGTGCTGGGATTACAGGCCTGAACCACTGCACCCGGCCCAAACTTAGAAGTTATTGATGGTTGCCATCAATATGGCGGAAATAGTAAGGCACGTTTACAACACGAAGTGAAGAGGAGAAGCTATTGGCTAATGGACTTCACCGCTTGAAGGAAATGCCTGGCTGAGGCATAAGCTGAAGGTCCTCGGGAAGAACTCCATCTTATCTGGAAACGACTCCTGAGCTTAGACCAATTGGCCCCAGGGAAAGATGAGCCTTGATTGTACCTTTGGCAAAAGCTAAAAGTGCAAGAGATCATCCCGGGCAGAGGAGCCGGGTGTGGCACTCGTTCTTGACCTACACCTAGCAGGGATGGAACCAGTATTGCAGGAGGTGCTGGTCCAGCTGACTTCTCGCTCTGCAACAAACCCAGGAGTGTAACCTGCAGCAGAAGGTGGTGCCCCCACTTGCTGTTTTCTACTGCTTACTGAAAAGCAGATCTCAATTTCAGCGAAGCACTACCAGATTTTTCATCCTTCTTTTTCATGGATCTGAGAGACGTAAAAGTATTGTAGTTAGATTCAGACGGAACCCATTTTAAACACACTCTGTAAACAGAGAAAAAGATAAACATAGACAAAGAAAATATTCTGCCAAAGAAGGGAAACGACCCGAGAAACCTAGCAAATATAGAATGTGAAGTGAAATTCCTAACATGAGATAGAATAAAGTATTAGAAAATCTCTCATTGATATTTTTGACCAAGTTTGAGAGGATGTGGCATCTGTGGAGCTAGAGTCAACAGTTATGAAAAGGTACAGATCTGAAGTCAGGATTGTTTAACCAACTTTTATTTCAAATTCAGTAGATACTTGTGCAGGTTTTTTACCTAAGGGTATTGCATGATGCTGAGGTTTGGGGTATCAATGATACTGCCACCTAGGTACTGAGGATAGTACCAGTAGTTTTCAACCCTTGCCCCAATACCCAGTAATCACCAGTGTGTAGTGTTGCCATCTTTTTAAATTTTATTTATTTATTTTTTGAGACAGTGTCTCACTCTGTCACCAGGCTGGAGTGCAGTGGCGCGATCTTGGCTCACTGCAACCTCAGCCTCCCAGGTTCAAGTGATCCTCCTGCCTCAGCCTTCAGAGTAGCTGGGACTACAAGTGCGCGCCACCACACTCAGCCAATTTTTGTACTTTTGGTAGAAACGGGGTTTCACCATGTTGGTCAGGAGGGTCTCGATCTCTTGACCTCGTGATCCACTCACCTTGGCCTTCCAAAGTGCTGGGATTACAGACGTGAGCCACCGTGCCCAGCCGTGTTGCTATCTTTATGTCCAATGTTTAGTTCTCACTTATAAGTAAGAACATGCAGTATTTGGTTTTCTCATCTTGGGTTAATTTGCTCACGATAAGCCTAAGCCTCCATGGATGGCCTCCAGCTATATCTATGTTGCTGCAGAGGACATGATTTCATTATTTTTGCAGATGTATAGTATTCCATGATGTATATAGCATATTTTCTTTATCCAATTCACTGTTAATGAGCATCTAGGTTGATTCCATGTCTTTGCTATTTTGAATAGTGCTGTGATAAACATGTGAGTGCATGTGTCTTTTTGGTTAGAATGATTTGTTTTCTTTTGGATATATACCCAGTAATTCTGGGTCAAATGGTAATTCTGTTTTAAGTTCTTTGAGAAATTGCCAAACTGCTTTCCACAGTGGCTGGACTAATTTACATTCTCACCAACAGTGCATAAGCATTCCCTTTTCTCTACAGCCTTGCCAAGTTGGTTATATTTTAAAATGTCATGAAAGAAGTGAACTGGACATAGGCTGTGTAGAACATTGAATCAGTCAAGTAAAAGGAAGTTTAAGAAACTCTCCTAGAGCTCAGAGAGAAAGCAAGCTGACATTTAATGAATATTAGGAATTCCAAAAGTAAAAAAGAAAGCCAATTAGGAAGAAGAAATAATCAAAATAATACTGGAAGATAATGTTGCTAAAATGACTAAAGATTATGATCTTATTTTAAAAGGCTTAGCAAGTACCAGGAACAACTTATTTTAAAGAGCCACTTGAATGAAAATTATTGAGCACATTTGTATTACAGGCACTGAGTGAAGCCAAAAAAAAGTATTAGATGAAATAAACATGGTCCCTATTCCAACTGAGTTGAATATACCTTAGAAGACAAGCAAATCACAATCAGTAGCATAGAGTATGGGAAGCGCTATCACAGAAGTGAAAAGCTTAGCAGAGGTGCACTTTAATTGGCTTCGGGGATCAGGAAAATATCACTTTCCACAAGAAGTGATATTTGAGCAGACTTGAGGAATATGTAGGCATTATCTAGATAAAGAAAAATGTCTTCGGTGAGATGGGAAGTAATCCAGACAGAAGTAAAAGCCTGGGTAAAGTCTCAAACCTGAAAAAGAACATGCCACATTTAAACAACTAAGAACATTTCTGTAAGGTTGAAAAATCAAAGAAAAGGTGAGTTAATGAGGTTGAAGGAAAAACAGAGGCTACCTTATAAAAAATTTCATCCACTCTATACATCGCTTTACTCATAATCCTGAGATGAAGATTTGGACAATGCAGCACAAGGACCAGGACTTTTTATAACGATCATATGTATATTTTCAAAAAGGCTCTCTAGTGAGTGTGGACAATGAATAGCAGAAGAACCAGACAAATGGTGAGAGACTGACTGAAGGTCATCACAGGAATTTAGGGAGGAAAAGGCAATGTAAACTAGGAGAGTAGCCACGGGAATGGATAAAAATAGGTAGATATGAGAAATTTTTCAAAACGTAGAATCAACCTTAATTGGATGTGGGCATTAGGGAGAAATATGACAGTCAGGTATCTGGTTTAGAGCCGTTAAATGCCATTCTCTGAGGTGGGAATCTCAGGAGGAAGATTGGATGATGACTTCTGCTTTGAACATGTTGAATTTAATGTGTTGAATAGGCAGTTGGAACTGGGGAAGGAGAAACTAGGGTGAAGATAGGGCCTTGTGAGAGCTTAGTGTATACATGGCAAATGTTTCCATGGGAGAGGAGATCTTTGCCTAAGGAAGTACAGAGAGTGGGAAGAGAATAATACTAAGAAGAGAAATCCACTAAGAGGATGCCGATGATACCTGCAATTAGAGGCATGGGGAAGGCTTTGCAATTCTTCTTATACAGTAAGGGGGTCATAACCCGGAGATGACGCATTCGGAGGCTGCCAGGATGTAGTTGAAAGGCTGAACCTTTGAATAGCATGTGGAAAATCTTGGCCCTTTGAGTATCTGAAAAAGCTGCAGGGAAGGGTTTTCTAAGGGGAGAATGAGGTTTCAAACATGCCATGAATATGAAGTGATTAGAGGAAGTAGAATTTTTCATTGAAGGGGAGTTCAATGGTTACAGTAGATATGCCTTGGAAGAAGGGAGGATATTTGAAAAAATGTACAAGAACTACATGGAGGAGAGAAGATAAATGAATGGCAGAGGGTTGTGTCCTCTGCATTGAAAAAGGACAACAGAGATAGGAGGCATGATGAAGTATGACAAGAACCACATTGAGTTATATTCTAAATATTGGTTTTAAAATTTCATGTTTAGTGGAAAAAATACATTAAGCATCTGAGTGGAAGGAAAATAACTACCTAAATGAGAACTGAAAGCAGTTTGTCACCAGAATGTGTCTCCTAATATCAGATAACCATGGAGCAACACCCAAGGAATTTTGAGATGAAAAGATTGTGAAAATAATTTTATACCCAGCTGTTGTTTATGTGAGATGATACTAAAATTCTCGGATATGCAAGGATGCCTACATATCTAGCATGTGTATGGATACAATACAGTAACAAACATATACATCTTGGAAATTTACTCAAGAAACTCTAGTAAATTAAGAAATTAATCAGTTAGGAACCTAATCTCCATATCATCAGGATGGACAAAGCACACATATACCTCTCCATTTTTTCTCCAGATCCCAGTAAAATGACTAACGAAGTATAAGAATGAGATTAAATCCTTAGCAGTCCTGAAAAACAGAGGAGGTTTTATCAGCAGATCCAACATTTTAAGGAATTTTGGAAAACTATAAAGCAGATTGGTTTGACAGGGAAAATAGCGCCAAGAAAATCACAAACAAATAAGGACATCTGGAATGGGTCACTGAAGAAGCAAGTACCAGCCTTCCCCACAGAGCCCTGGAAAAACTCCAAGATCATCATCAGCAAGGGCTGGAAATATTTGTTGAATGATGTTGAATGAATGAGCAGCCTGTGTGGCAATTAGCGACATAAAATGAAGGAATGCCAGCCCAGCTGGGCTGGTCCTCAGCTCTGGAACACAGAGAACTGGCTATGGTATTTTCTCCTAAGATATAATAGATAAGATGAACTCTCTCTACATAAGTGGTGGCTCTTCCTTTAGGAAAAAGAAAAATAATAGAAAAGCAGCTTTGTAGAGGAATGAAATGTCCTGAAACTCCCTACTCCCAGAGAAATGTCTTCCCTGGCTTACTTGGATTTATTGAAGCAAATCCTTAACCTACTTACATGCTGTTTGTTTGTTCAACCTGGAAAGAAATCCATTTGCATCCCACCCACCTACGCAAAGAGGACTGGAGTATGCTGCCATTCAGGAGAGAGCTCTGCTGTAGGGATGGTACCCTCTACCATTGCTGAAGAAAGCCAGTTGAATGATCAATAGCGACCACTGTAGTCCTTCAATCATAATTACAAATAGGCAGACATTGAGGAAGAGTAAATCATTAATTAGAAACATCTATAGGAACAGGTGGAACAGATGGTCCTTGAGAGATTAACAACGGCAATAGAAGTTAATTTAACATTTCCATTAAAATTATTAAAAGTATTTGACAGAATATTGAATATGTGAAAAAGGACATACTTCTTTGAAAATGAATCAAATGAATAAGAAAGTTTGAGAAATTAAAATTGTGAATAATTAGAGAGAAAAAACTGAGAATGGCTGATTACTACAATAGACAGAGCTAAAATTAGTGATGAAATCTTGTAGAATATGTAATAGTAACAAAGATTAAGAATATTACTGTTGCTTTGTTATTAACCTCTTCCTCTCAAAACATATTAGATTTTTCTATCTTGGGGATTCAGCAGTTTATGAGTATAAGTAAGTAATAGTAGCAAAGATTAAAAACATTACTGTTGCTTTGTTATTAACCTCTTCCTCTCAAAACATATTAGATTTTCTATTTTGGAGATTCAGCAGTTTATGAGTATAAATTGTATCATGTTATATTACCATAGTTTATCTTTTTTTGAACAGATGCAATTTCTTTTAGAATACTGCGATCTTCTTTTCCTCTTCTAACAACAACCTTTTCTCCTCGTGAAACTTCTAATTCATGCTTTTTGAACTACTGAACACACTTGTCATGTGTCTTAACTTTTCTGTAGAAATAGCACTGTCTCGCTTTTATTTTAAAATATTTAAGGATGTTCATGTGTTTCGAAGACAAAATTAAAGAATCTTATTAATTGTATTTTCTGTTGGTTTATCTGAATTTTTGAAAACATCAGTATCACAATATTTTAAGTAAAAATGAACATATTATTTATAAAAGTACATGTTTGAGTTTAATTCTCTACCCTTTTTACTGTCGTTCTTTGCTCTTTTTCTTTTGCAGGGAGAGCATGGGCTATTTTATTGTAGGTACATAGGCGCACACTCCAGAGAGCCAGTCGGAGCTACAAGATTTGTTATGTAAATTATCTGTCCCCTTCAAGTCCATTTACCCCTTTCCCCAAAAACCAGTATCAACTCTTATAGCTGATCCCTGTGGTGTTTCTCTGCTTGTGGCTAAAGAATGCATTGGTCTTGCTGCTTCCTGATTTTTCAGCCTTACATATTATTTATTGACTTCCTGCTATGTCAAATGAGGATGTAACTTTGCTTTTTGCATCCCTTTGGTCTCTCCAAAGGAACTCTCCCTTATCTTCCCTTCAATCTTTCAATGTAATTATACTGTAATTTTAGTTTCCCCAAATATTCATTGCTTAAATTATTATAATCATGTAAATGCTATCGAGTGCTGAGCCTAGTAAACTGATAACTTTTCCTTTCCTGCACAACTTTTTACATCTCCTGGAATCAATCCGTATCTTTTTCTTCATTTGTTTGTGTGGTTTTCTATGTACTTAGCAATTTAACCTAAACTCTCCAGCAATTACCGGAATCTCTTTCCAATAAGTTCATTGACATTAGGCATTTTAATGCTTTCATCTTCTTGAAAAAATTTCTCTGTGACCCTTCTGACCTGTCAATATTGGGAATGGTTGTCCTTTGCAAGAGTTATGCTAACTTCTCTGACTTTCATCACCAATCTGGGATTTTTCTTTATTTCTCTCTTGTATTAGGTGCCTTTTTTCTTGGATCTCATGTCTTCTTTTAGGATTCCTTCAGAGGAATACAAAAACCTTGAATTTCTGAAACTTCTTTTTACCTGACACCAGATAGTTTTGCTGGGTACATATTTTTAAGAATAGGAATAGGAAAATATTGCTTGTTTCTCTTCTAGTTTTCAATATTTGCTATTGAGCAATTGGAAGCCACTGAGATTCCTAATTGGTTGTAAAAAACTTTTCATTTTTTTTTCTTCTCTGAGAACCTGTAGAATTTCCTCTTTATCTTCAGTCTTCTGAACCTGCAAAAGCAAGAGCTCTTCAAGTAAAGAGACTTAACATGTACCTCTTTTCATTCACTCTCTGGGACACCCAGATGATGGGTCCTTTGAATCTGGAAACTTTGTTCTGTCAATTATTCTTGAATTATTTTGTTGATAATTACTTCTCCTTTATTTCATCTGTTTGTTCTTTCTTGAATTGCCATTAGAAAATTATTGGACCTCTTGGCCGGGCGCGGTGGCTCACGCCTGTAATCCCAGCACTTTGGGAGGCTGAGGCGGGCGGATCACGAGGTCAGGAGATCGAGACCATCCTGGCTAACACGGTGAAACCCCGTCTCTACTAAAAAATACAAAAAAATTAGCCGGGCGTGGTGGCGGGCGCGGTGGCGGGCGCCTGTAGTCCCAGCTACTCGGGAGGCTGAGGCAGGAGAATGGCATGAAGCCGGGAGGCGGAGCTTGCAGTGAGCCGAGATGGCGCCACTGCACTCCAGCCTGGGGGACAGAGTGAGACTCATCTCTAAAAAAGAAAAAAAGAAAAAAAAAATTATTGGACCTCTTAAACTGATTTCCCCAATTTCTTACTATTTTTCAATTTCTAATCATTTTGTCCCTTTAGTCTGTTTTCTAGACTATTTCAACTTTTCTTCCTATTTTTCTGTTTACTTTTCAATTTTACTTTTAATTTCTCAGAAATCTTATTTCTGAATATTTATTTGTATAGGATTTTTAATGATTGTAACATATCATCTTATCTATCTGAGAACTTAATGATAGTTTTTATTTATTTTTTTCCCACTTTGTCTCTGTTTTCTCCAAGTTGCTTTTATCGGTCGGTTTGGTTTCGTCTCTATATTTCATCCTAGGCTTTCTTTACATGTTTGATAATTTTCATTTTTTGTCTGCTCAGATTTATTGGGCAACCTACAAGCTGATTGGAAGCACTGAGATGGCTAGCCTGTCTTATTAAAAACTTCCAATATTTGTCGGCCTGGTGCGGTGGCTCATGTCTGTAATCCCAGCACTTTGGGATGCTGAGGCGGGCGGATCAGGAGGTCAGGAGATCGAGACCAGCCTGGCCAACATGGTGAAACCCCGTCTCTACTAAAAATACAAAACTTAGCTGGGCGTGGTGGCACCCACCTGTAGTCCCAGCTACTCGAGGAACTGAGGCAGGAGAATCGCTTGAACCTGGGAGGTGAAGGTTGCAGTGAGCCAAGATCACACCACTGTACTCCAGCCTGGCGACAGAGCGAGATTCCATAAAAACAACAACAACAACAACAACAACAACAAAACTCTGATGTCTTTCCTCTTGAACTGAGGAGGCTCTTTAGCTTGAACTCTTCCAAGGATGATGAGTGAGGAAAAAGGTTGAGGGTTGTATTGATCTATTTTCACACTGCTATAAAGGCATACATGAGATTGGGATATTTATAAAGAAAAGAGGTTTAATTGACTCACAGTTTCACATGGCTGGGGAGGCCTCAGGAAGCTTACAATCATGGTGGAAGGGGAAGAGGCACATCTTATATGGTGGCAGGCAGGCAAGAGAGGGCGAGTAAAAGCAAGGAAAACTACCTTATAAAACTATCAGATCTTGTGAGAACTCACTCACTATTATGAGAACAGCATGGAGGAAAACATCTTCATGATCCAATCACCTCTCACCGGGTCCCTCCCTAGACATGTGGGGATTATGGGGATTACAATTTGAGATGAGATTTGCATGGGGACCCAGAGCCAAACCATATCAGGGGCATCTCAGAATTTTTAGTATACATGCTCATTTAACCCATCTCTCTAAAGTTCGAAAATTTTACTTCTAATCCATTCCCTAGACACTCTCTGGTTTACTGTCTTCAGAACATAACCCTCCAATCTTTTGCCAGGGAAAGGAATTGGCCCAGACATTGAATAGAAACTAATTTCTAAAATGCCCCCCACCCACTTTTTTTTTTAAGACAGGGTCTCACATTGTTGCCCAGGCTGGAGTGCAGTGGCATGATCACAGTTCACTACAGCCTCCACCTCCCAGGCTCAAGTGGTCCTCCCACCTCAGCCTCTCAAGTAGTTGAGACCACAGGTGTGTGCTACCATGCCTGTCTAATTTTTATGTAGAGACGGGGTTTCACCAGGTTGCTCAGGTTGGTCTGGAACTCCTGGGCTCTAGTGATCTGCCTGCCTCAGTCTCCCAAAGTGCTGGGATTGCAGGCATGAGCCATTACACTGGGCCTCTAAATGCTTTTAGCCAAGTCTTGTTATTTTAGCCTCCTCCTCTCTCTTTTTCTTCACTTCCGGGGGTAGCTGGTTTGCACACTTGCTGAGATTTTTGAGGGTTCTGTGGCATAATCTCAGCTTCTACTGCTGGCTTAGTTTCAACCTTCTTAAATAACCAGCCCTCTATTATTTATTTATTTGTTTTTGAGATTCCAAAATTCTGTTGCTGTTGTCCCCTCTGCTATATCCTTGTGGGTGTATGTCTTACAAAATCTCCCTTAATTGCCTTTTAATGGAGTTTCAGGAGGGATGGAAAGTACATGCATATGTTTAATCTGCTATCGTTACCTGGAAATTGATTTTCAAATATATTTGCTAATTGAAATAGTTATGCAATGTTGCACTTGATAATATCTGAGCTTTCTAAATAAAATTTTGAATCTGTATTAAGGCTAATAGGATGCTACAGCAAGACCAACCCTTGAACTTCAGAGTTTAACACGACAACAGTTTAATTCTCACTATCACTAGATGTCCATTATGGATAGAGGGTGGCTCTGTTTCACCATGCCTGGGAATTGATAGAGGTGGACAGAAACTCAATTATTTCGCAGTTGTACAATCTGAAGTGTATAACCTTGGTTCACATAGTAAGGACAGAGAGAGCTGGAGGGTCTCACATCAGCAAATAACTATTTTAGCCTGAAAGTGATATGCTCACATTTCATTGGCCAGAATGTTTCATGGGCCTTATTTACTGAACGAAACAGGAAAGTATAATCCCCGCTGGTGTTTGAAAGAAAGAGATATTAAGTGGGCATTAGAAGGCTCCAGCCTGTCACTTTTAGATATGCAGCCATGTACCATATAATGACTTTTTAGCTGACAACAGACCAAATGTATGATGGTGGTCCCATAATATTATAATATTGTATTTTCACTGTACCTTTTCTATGTTTAGACACACAAATACTTACCATTGTGCCACAATTGTCTCCACTATTCAGTACAGTAACACACTGTCCAGGTTTCTAGCTTATGACAATAGGTTAGACCATTGTGCACAGCCTAGTACTAGTAGGCTATGCACAGTGAAGAAATTGCCTAAGAATACATTTCTCAGAACATATCCTTGTTGTTAAGCAACATATGACTATACATTGAGCTGAGAGAATGTATTTGCTAGGGTAAGACTAGACTGCTATAAAAAGAAGATCCAATTCAATGTGGATCTACATTGGCTTAAAAGGAAATGCAGTTTATTCATTTTCACTGAAACACACCAAAGGTAGCATCCAATGCCGACAGGTGGCCATGGTCCCAACCAGATGCTTCGACTGTGTTCCTGCATTTCACTCTTACAACTCTGTTCTAAGTATTCTAAGTGAGTAACTTGTGTGCTAATGTTCACTTGAAAAGCCTATGACACACACATAATGAAAGGGTAAAGACAGAATCTTCACATGAAGAACTTACCGTTGAAGAACCTAATGCTAAGTCCCAAACCTTTCTTCTTACATGTTCCTATTTGTCTTTCAGTCTTTCATGACTGAAAAGATGTACCATGGAGATGTGCCATTGTGTTTGAAAACACAAGAGAAGGTGTTCCTGGAGAAAGATGGAAGCTGCTTATGAGAGACAAGACAGACCCTGTGGAAGTTTAGTCATGAGGAAGATAAAGAAGATTTTCTGGGGGGATCCTCTAGAAACAAAACAAAACACAAATTGTAATGCATCTGTAGTTAGACTGCTAGGAACTTTGACTCAATGGACTGAAAGTTTAAGGCTTTGTTCTTTACCTGTGCTGCTTTCAAAATATGTGAACAGTGGATCCATTTTTGCAAGCAGAAGTTGTTTAACCATGAGATGAATGTCCCATGATTTCAAATGATATATAATAAACATTTTTCTTTTGTGTTTGAAATCTATTTTCTTTCAGCACATTACCTTAGTGGATTAGTCCATTTTCACACTGCTATAAAGAATACACGAGACTGGGTAATTTATAAGGAAAAGAGGTTTAATTGACTCACAGTTCCGCATGGCTGGGGAGGCCTCAGGAAACTTATGATCATGGTAGAAGGAGAAGCAAGCACATCTTACATGGCAGCAGGTTAAGAGGGAGAGTAAATGAGTAAGGAGGAACTGTCAAACACTTATAAAACCATGAGATCTCATGAGAACTCACTGTCATGAGAGCAGCATGGAGGAAACTGCCCCCATGATCCAATCACATCCCTCCCTTGACATATGGCAATTACAGGTCCCTCCCTTGACACGTGAGGATTGCACTCTGAGATGAGATTTGGGTGGAGATAGAGAGCCAAATCACATCCTTTGGATGAAAGTGATAATCAAACTTTTAAATGTATACAGTTGAAAGATAAAGTCTTAAAATACTTGAATTCAGAAATGTCAAGGAAAATAATGGAGAACTGAAGTATTTCTACACTGCCAATCAGATTTCCCTGTTCCCACTTGCTCCTTAGTGTCTCCTGGGAATCTCTAGCTTTGACCTGATTCTAATCCCTGATTAATTATAAAAGGCACCATGGAGTGGGGAAACACACACCATTAAATATAATCTCAGATAATAAGATGCTTTGATTTCAAGTTCAGAAATGTCACAAGAGGAGAAAATGTGAGTTTCATGATAGAAAGTGCTATATTAAGTGGATGATTATGACCACTGTTGGGATGTAATTATCAATTGATTAAAGACAGGTCAGCTAGAGAGAGTTTGGCATAATGTATGCAGAAGTGCTTCTGGATCAGCTAGAGCTAAAGGCAGAGAATGGCTGTGGGAGTAAAAGAAGAATCATTTCTGCAGAATCCGAAGGTGAACTCGGAGCCTTAGAAAATGGATCTTGAAGTATAGCCCTGACTGAGAGAAGAAAATAACAACTGGAGGAGCTAGATAGATGGTCTTCTCAGTCACAGAAGCTTAATTTTGATCAGAGATTAAAACATCATGCTATGAAAAAGAAATCCCACATTTTTCTGGGGGCTAAAGCCTGGGGTCTTTTTTTTTTTTTTTTCTGAGATGGAGTTTTGCTCTTGTCATCCAGGATGGAGTGTAATGGCACAATCTCAGCTCACTGCAACCTCTGCCTTCCAGATTCAAGTGATTCTCCTGCCTCAGCCTCCCGAATAGTTGGGACTACAGGTGAGTGCCACTATGGTCCAGATAATTTTTGTATTTTCAGTAGGGACGGGGTTTCACCATGTTGGCCAGGCTGGTCTCGAACCACCCACTCAACTGGAGACCCACTTTGGCCTCCCAAAGTGCTGGGATTACAGGCATGAGCCACTGTCCCCGGCCTAAGCCTGGACTCTTTAGAGAGTTCACCATTGCTCATAATTCTCAATTTTTGATCTTTGTAACAGACTGTATGGTAAACATGGTTGCTTTCACTGTTGAAAACAAAAATAACTTCAGAAATAAAGACAGGACAGCAAGTCACCTGTCCAGAGTGATTGTTGGGCTTAGATGTCTATGTCTACCCAGGTCAAAATGGAAAAGTTGGCAAAAATGGCACTTTTACTTACCCTACATGGTGTCTTCCCTCTCTTCTGGCAGTGCCCCCTCCCACCCAGGCACTCTGTCTACCTCAGCGATTATTATACCTCCCAAAGGGAATCTTATGCCAGGCATGAACTCATGTGCTTATTAATAGAACATTTTCCAGAGTATAAGGGAATTTCAAAAGAAAATAGTCTTCAGAAAAACAAAAGGAGTCTTTCACATAGCATGATGGATTTTTGGCCTAAGTTGAATGGTGTGTTCACCAAAAGTGTGGAATAAAGAAGAAATCAGATGCTGAGGGACTCACAGGAAGATACCAAGAGTGACCTGCACCAACCATTGATGACCAACCCTGAACTACGCATCATTTCATTTAACCCTTCCCAAAAAAAGCCCACTAAGGTAGATGTGTTCCTGTCTGTATTTCATAGACGAGGGGAAATCTATGGTGTAGGAACCTTAATGTCATTTTCAATGTCTTCCAGAGGTTAAGTGGCTCAGATCTGCTTTGAACAAATTATCACCTGTCACCAGAGCCCATGTTCTTCTTTCTCCACAAGAAACCTGGGGTCAGAACAATGGACAGAGGTCAGCCCAGCCTCCTTGTGACAAGCACCATTCCTCAGTATCAAAGGATTGCCTGGGGTGATCCCTGGGAGGCTGAAGGATTCCGCGATATTCTGAGGCCTTATATGCCAACTGAATCCCACAATTACTGATGATTTTTATTAATTGCATTTATTTCTAAAAACATTAAAGAGAAGTGGGATTTCCTGCTGACAAGAGTTGATATTTTGCAGTCAGAAAATTTTGCATTATCCAAATTTTGGCTATTTTGCATGGCCTCATTCTACATATCCGCTCCACCCTGCTTCCTGTCCCCACCCAACACTGCCCACATCAATGGCCAAACTTTGGCAGAGGCATGCAGAGCTGGAGCAGTCAGTGTTAACTGTTCCAAGAAGCCAGACTCCGCAAGCGTTCTCGGCATCGGTACTTGTCTGTGTAATGGAAGCTCCCCGGGGAAGGTTCCTTGTTCTTTGGAAAATAGTGTCTGCTCTTCGCAATAGCAGTGAATCTAGAGTGAATTGCTAGTCACTTGATGTGATAGGAGTAGGAACTGTAAGGAAATGAATAAGCTTCTTGAAGATGTAACCCCACAAAGAAGCCCAAGTTTCTTAGGAGAAACCCTTGTCTTGCCAGCTTCCTTCCTCTGCTTGAGCTAAATGTATAAGTAGGGAGGTCAGCCTTTGTTCCTCTAGCATGTTGCTAAGTCCTATACAAGACATGTCCAAAGACTTACTGAAACAAACATATGTAAAAATATTTGTGTTTGTTTTACCATAACGCCAATTAGTATGTCATCTATGACAGCATTTTGGACTCTGTAAGGCACTGCTAAAGAGGGTACATTATTTTTTCTTTCAAAGTACCTGAACTAATGATTGTGTTCAACCATCTGTCCATCCTAAATTGAGATCCTTCCTTTCTTATTCTAGTTGGGTAAAGTATTGACAAAGCTAACGCTAGAATTTTAACAAACCAAGCTAATTGCCTATGTGTCAGTCCCTGCTTTGAAGAGTGATGATCACAGAAGTGACATTTTTTTTTTTTTTTTAGATGAAGTCTCTCTCTTGTCCCCCAGGTGGGAGTGCAGTGATCTCGGCTCACTGCAACCTTCGCTTCCCGGTTTCAAGCGATTCTCCTTCCTCAGCCTCTGGATTAGCTGGGATTACAGGCACCTGCCATCACGCCCGGCTACTTTTTGTAATTTTAGTAGAGACGGGGTTTCACCATGTTGGCCAGGCTGGTCTCGAACTCCTGACCTCAGGTGATCTACCTGCCTCGGCCTCCCAAAGTGTTGGAATTACAGGCGTGAGCCAGAGACGTGACTCTTTAGCTAGGGCTGAGGAATCTTCTGGATTCTTGAAACTGGGGGATGAGGTGGGAAAGCATCCCCTGATGTCTGAGACTAACCTGATGTTGACAGATAGACCTTGATATGATTGCAAGCCAGTCTGATGCTCATAGCTAGGTCATTTTGTTCTCCTGTCTCCTATAATCACGAAATACCAACTTCAGACAAGGTTACCGTGAAATCATAATAAAATAAAACAAGTCCACTTTATAATTTTGTCTTCGCATAGATGAACAAGGTCACTGTGACATTCGCAAAATACACAAATTATACAATTGCCCTCCTTTCTGACAGCATCCAAGCTAGAAACAACACTCACTTCTTTAGATCTTTCTCCAAATCACATGACCAAAGTTCAAATCCTATAATAGGTTCTTTCTAATACTCTCTTGCTGAGATAACCCACAGTTTTCTGTTGCGTATGTTCTCTGTCTCATGCAATGAGTAAAAAACTCAGCTTTTTAAAGCCTAGATGTATTCTTGTAGGACTTTGGCTGTAGGGCATTGATAATCTCATAGTAAACACTCAGCTTCACCACTGCTAAGCCAGAGTGATTCAGAGTTTCCCTCTTATTATCCTCCCTCACCCCATGCAATGCCTGTGATGTTCATGTGTATAAAGGCTGTAAGGGTGGAGCATGCAATTTTCCTTGAACACAGTGTTTCTGCATATCTGAGGCCAATTTAAAGCCTCTTATATCTAGGCAGGTGGTCAAGGCCCCTGCTTACCACTGTGGAGCTCAGAGTCTTTTCCGTCTCCTTCAGGAGGGCTCCCGTGATGGGCCTTGAGAATGGCCTTCATTCTAGAAGGCATATATACTCCCCTCTTATCTCCACAATGAGAGACAGCAGCCTTGTGTAGGGATTCTCACGGAGATGGTGAGTGGAATAATGGGAGGTACACCCTATTCGGCCTCTTCATACACACAGAAATGTTTGTAGTTGGGTTTAGGGTCAGGAAGTCAAATGACTGCAGCGTCAAGTCTTGTTTGTACGTGAATGAAGTGGGCCAGGTCTGATACAATACAAGGGCATGGGGTCTTTAGTAAACTGGCAAGAGCATGTCCTCTCTAAAAAGGCACAACTTAATTTCTTAATTTAACCGCTGCTGGTGGCTGCCATGAGGCAATGAGATTCCAGCGTGGCCAGATCGTTTGATTCCTTCCTTCCTTCCTTCCTTCCTTCCTTCCTTCCTTCCTTCCTTCCTTCCTTCCTTCCTTCCTTCCTTCCTTCCTTCCCTCCTTCCTTCTTTCCTTCCCTCCTTCCTTCTTTCCTTCCCTCCTTCCTTCTTTCCTTCCCTCCTTCCTTCTTTCCTTCCTTCCTTCTTCCCTCCCTCCCTCTCTCTCTTTCTCTCTGTCTTCTTTCTCTCTTTCTTCTCTCTCTCTTTCTTTCTTTCTTTCCTTTTGAGACGAAATCATACTCTGTCGCCCAGGCTGGAGGACAATGGCACAATCTCAGCTCACTGCAAACTCTGCCTCCCAGGT